GACGCACTTTTCCCCCCCCCCCAGAAGTGGGGGTAAAAGTCCCTGCGACTTATGGTTCAAATATAGCCTACACATATACTTTAAAAAAAAAGTTTTTTTACTTGCCCGGCTCTGTGTGGTCTCTGTGTGCTTGCCCGGCTCTAAAATGGTTCTAAATGCTGCTGTTTACTTTACAGGGTTGATTACATGTGTTTATGACTGTGATGTTGGGTTTTAATGCACATAAAATATTTTAGGACACTGTTTGTTTCAGAATCTTTTTTTCTTCATTTCCCTTCTCTAAAAACTGGTGCGTCTTATGGTCCGGTGCGTCTTATGGTCCAAAAAATACGGTATTTCCTTCCTATTTTTCCTATGAACAGCTTTTATATTTTATGTAGCCATGACTATAATCTCACACCTATTTTGTAGTGATATTTTCAATTAACATTACAACATACATTTCTATATTATTACAGACTTTTTGTAAACATCACTTGAATTTTCAAAATAAGCAATGTTGTCCAGATTATTGTTGGTCAACTTTATTTTATACTTCTACTATTTTCATTATTTTGGCCTGTCTTTTGTATCTGACTCTGAGGAATTAAGAAAGTTTTTATTATCTCACCAATTCTGAGATTTATTATCTCCCAAATGTACTGTGTGAGAAATGAGAGGTAGGTTATTTAGTCCAATGTAGACCCTAGTAGACCATGCTCATACTTCAGTGGACAGGAACAAGGACACAGCTCATCCTCAGGAATACCTGTGTGAATGAAGAAGCATTTGGTAATGAAGGAACTGGCAGTTAGTGAGTACTTGCTCCTAAGACAGCAGACTGAGTGATCTAACCACTGAGCTAGTGCTGACTCTGGGAGAACTGAATCCGGAGTCCAGGTGTCCTGGTTCCCACTCCTTCAGCATTTCTACTTTCCTGTCCCTTCACTGTGCTCCAGGGATCATCTTTCAAATAAACTCCCTGAACCAAATCCTTGTCTCAGGATCTCCTTTTGCAAGACCTGAGCGAAGACAACTTCCTCATCACAGAAGTGACAGCCTCTGCAGCCTGGCAACGGGTAGGAGGTCTGTCTTGCCTCTGGTCCACTTTTGTTGCCCTTTGATCTGCTTCTTCAACCCACTCTATCCCTGCGTTGTGTACTAGGTCCTTTTAATCAAGTTGAAAGGATTCTGTCTTTTTAACCGCCCTCAAAGGTGCCCGTAAAGGACTGAGCTCTGCAACTAAACCTACGGCATTCTACATGTCCATCGGCTCCCGCTGCTCATGAAACCCATGAGACATCTGAACAGTTAGGGGTGAGCTGGGGTTTCATAAATCAGAATCTCTAAGGCCCTAAGAAGCCTTCCAATCATTTCCATCCAAACTCCTAATATTACATATTAGAAAACAGAGGGACAGAGGGAGCATTTGCTCAATACTTTGTGTAACAGAGATTAAGAACTTGACCTCTGACCCTTAAGCCTTTGGTCTTCCCTTTCTCTGAGCTTTTCCTGCACACATCTCACCATCGTTTCCTTTGTTTGACCCAATTCCTCTAGCTCACTGCGATTTCCATCATTTATTTCCAGTTGACCTAATTCTTCTATGACCCTGAGCCCTTAACTTATATTCAAGCTGCTTTACAGCTCTGCTGCCCCATTCTGAGGTTGAAAATAAACTTCCATCAATATTTTAACAATAAAGAGAAAGCTATGAAATAAGTAAAATAATGTATGGGGGTTGTCACTTTTCACCTCTTACTGTGTAGTTCGGCTCCCCTGGAATCCTGTCACTGGGTGTCAGCTGGTTTACCTGGCAGAGACACACTTAAATCCCTCATCCACTGAGCTCTCACCGCCACTGGAGCATGACTTGATTGATAATCTGGGTTCTGTTTTTAAGCCCCATGCCTCAGTTTTTCTCTGGTCTCACCTAAACCATCTAGCTTTATCTTCCTGGGTTCTCCTAACTGAGAACCTAGTCCTAGATGGCCAGTTTCCTCATTCTCTCAGCTTCTCATTCTTTGCCTATGTGAGAGGTGAATGTCTTTTCCTCCAGCCTAAAATACAAACTTAATATATTTCCCCAAAAATTATTATCTTGATCATCTTTTTGGGGGGTTTATTTTGGGTTCTCAAACAGACCCTTGAGGACCAGGGCCATGACTGAAGCCCGCCCCCTGGCATCCTGTGCTGCGAATGCTAGCAATGAACTAAATGTTTGCGTCCCATACGCTGCCACCCTAAGCTCCAGTGTGGCTGTTTGGAGATGGAGCCTGTGAAGACATAATTAAGGTTAAATTCATAAGGTCAAAAGGTTGGGCCGTATTAGATAAGGCACCAGACAACTGGTTTTCCTGTGTGCTAACTCTTAGGAGAGCCCATGTGAGGAGAGCGAGAAGGCGGCCACTGCAAGCCAGGAAGAGAGCTCTCACCAGAAACCGAACCTTGTGGAACCTTGGCCTTGAACTTCCAGCCTCCAGAACTGCGGGGAAATAATTTCTGTTACCTAAGCCACCTAGCCTGTAGTAGTTAGTAGGCAGCCTGAGAATGTGGCCTATGTCCTTGCAGCTGGAGCAGAGCTGCATGTTGGGCAGGGCACACTCTCCCATCCTGTTCTGTATGTTTGCCAGCCTCCTCCCAAATGTGAACAAGGCTCCCACCACAGCATTTTTACTCCCTCGTGTACGCTGCCTCTGGATCCCACCAGAAGCCAGCTCTTCAGAGAGTCCACTGGATAAGAACTTCTGTATCTCCCGTCTCCAGGCCTGGCCTTCTGCCTGTGCTCCCGAGACTGCCTCTTCGCTGCCCGTTCACTCTAGTCTTCATCTAGCATACTGAAAAGGAAATAGCCTCAGAGGTTAGCAACATGTGCAAGGTTCACATCCAGTTCATTTTTGCCCTAAATCCAGCATTGGGCCACTTTTTGTTTAGCCAGAATTTATGATGTTCTACCATCAGCTATAGCTATTTATGAAATAATCTTACACTCATTATTTGATTGTAAGCTGTGAGGGTCTTAACTTTCCTTGTATCTTGAAGAAGGGCTAAGCCAGTGCCTTGCACTGGGTAGTACTTCAAGAACAGGCACTGGATTGAAAGTGGGAATCAACATTACAGTGGTGAAATGGGGAAAGAGCAGCATGAGAGACTTAGAGGAAGATCAGGAGGAGGAGGAAGAGATGGTTTCTGAGTTGAGACTGAGGTAACAGAGAAAATTTGTCTGGGCAAAGAAGGGAGTGATCTGAGGCTGGCCTCTAGGCCATGCGTTTAGAGCTGAGGCTGTGGTCCTGTGGAGGCAGAGGTGTGGTGTTTATGAAGCCATGCACACCAAGCAAGTCACTTAACTTTTTTAGACCTTGGTTTCCTAATGGGGAAAGTGGGGAAAATAAGAGTACCCATTATTTGGGGTTAAAGTGAATAATAAAATAATGCATGTAAAGGACTCAGCACCACACACTGGACCCAATACATGTTATCTATCATGAATAATAAACACTACTAAAATACTATTACTAGTAATATGGTCTGAAAGTTCACATGTGCACCAGTCTAGCTCTCTAAGTAAATTACTTAATTTACACTCAAAGATTATGGCATTGCTGCTGATAGATTATGAAGCAAAATCAGTTAAAAGCTCAGAAGTTCTAAGGAACACTCTGATTACTATAACTTTCCCAATGGATTCCAGGGAAACCAAAGTGTTGGGAGGCAGGAGGCTAAACGCCTCCTGGGTGTAAAACTCACTTGGCTGGCCTGCTCCACTTTCAGGAGACATTTACAAGGATTTCCCCAACCCTAAAATAAGGAAAATACCACTCCTGGGCTATAGGGGGTTAAATCTGGTACCGTGTGCAAAGCAGGAATCTGGAGATGATGATGCCGGATGTTTGGAAACCTAACTCTGAGGCCTGTGAGGCTCTGTCTCCAAGTGCGACCCCTGTTAACAGCAGTGTTAGCGTCTTCTGAGGACTTGTGAGGTACAAACCCTGAGGCCTGTCCCGGACCTGCTGAACCAGAAACTCTGGAGGTGGGGTCAGCGATCCCTCCTGGTGATCCCCTCACCTAGGTTTGAGATCCTACGTGAAGTGATAGGGAGCCATTGAAAGCTTTCATCCAGTAAACACTCTTGGTTAAGATAATTAAAATTGGTTAAAAGGTTAAAAAAAAATATTGGCTAATAGGATTAAATTGTCTAAGTACTGACAAGTTTCCAAAGTTGCTGGAAGATGTCTGTTTATTGATCTTTAACGATCTTCAGGCACAAAACGGGTTAGTGCCCATGACCCCAGACACCTGAGCACACTCAGCACCTGGCAGTCAGAGTTGTTCTGGAAACTTTCCACGCACAGTTTGGGGGCCTGGCAGGCAAGGAATGCTCAGCGAACCCCCAGCTACAACCAAGTCACCAAGAAGAGCAAGGACAAGAAAACTATGTGGGGATCAGAAATGAGGGTCTTGAGAGCAGAGAATCCGGGGTGCGGGAAGCGACGGGGAGGAGCGGGAGTGAGGAGGGAGAGAGGGCACCCGGGTAAGGTTCGCCCATCCCGCGTCCCATGGGCCAGGGGCCTCCTGCACCTGAGCCCTGGCGCATCGTCAGTGCACCCCGTCCCGCCCCTCCCGCAGCCCTGCCACTGCGAGCCGCACCTCTCCGCCCCCAGAGCCTCCTTCCCGTCCCCAGGCGTCGCCCCGCGACTGGGCGGGGCTGCGGTGAGGGCGCTTCCGCCCGCTTTCCGGCCCGAGACCCCGAGGGAGCGGTCTCCGGCCTGCGCTGCCGCCCCGCCCAAACCACGCCCCTCGCTGCCCGCCCCGCCCCTCACTGCCCCCTAACCCCGTCCCGGCCCGCCAGCCCCGCCCCCTAAACCCGCCCCACCTCTAGCCCCGCCCCGGCTCCCGGCCCGCCAGCCCCGCCCCCTAAACCCGCCCCACCTCTAGCCCCGCCCCGGCTCCCGGCCCGCCAGCCCCGCCCCTCGCCGCCCCGCCCCAGCCCTCGCCCCGCCGGCTCCAAGCCCGCCCCGCCCGCCGCCCCGCCCCGCGCCGGGCAGCTTTGTCTCCGGCCTCGCGCTCCCAGCTCGGCTCTCCGGCGTCGCGGCCCAGCTCGGCCCGTCCGCAGGCGCCGCGCGGGGCCCGAGCGCCATGGTGTGAGCGCCCGCGCACGGCCCCCGCCCCGCCCCGGCCTCGCTGGCGGACCCCGGCCGACCCTCTCCCGACGCCCGGCCTGGGCGAACGGAAAATGGCGAACGACTCCCCGGCGAAAAGTCTGGTGGACATCGACCTCTCCGCCCTGCGGGTGAGTGGCCGCGCGGGCAGGGGCGGCGCGCGCCCCTTTGTCTGCCGGCGGCGGCGGGGCGGGCGCGGGCGCGGGCGGCGGGCGGCGGGCGGCGGGCGGCGGGCGCCCCGGCCCGGGCCCTCGGCTGAGGCGAGCGCGCCGGGCGGAGCCCGCGTCCTGGAGGCCGCCGGCAGCGGCCCGGGCCGCCCATTGTTCCTGCCGCCGGTAACCCCTCCCCGCTCTCGCCTAGGACCCGGCCGGCATCTTCGAGCTGGTGGAAGTGGTCGGCAATGGCACTTACGGACAAGTCTATAAGGTCAGTGGGCTTTGTTCCGCGGGAACGTGGCGGGGCCGCGCGGGTGTCAGCCGGGGCGGGGGCGCCGCTGCCCGGGGCGCTCCGCGGGGAGACACTGCCCTCAGACAGACAGCCTGCGTGCGGTTCCCACCGCCCTCTGCGGTGCCATCAGAACTGGGCGCCGAGGCCTTGCCTGTGATTATCCCCCGCGCCTCCTCCCGGGCCCGGCCCCGCGCCTCCTCCCCGGCCGCCCGGCCCCGCGCGGAGCGGGACTGACCGTCGCCGGGACAGCCGCGCGGAGGGCGTGTGCGGCCGGAGGGAGGTGGCCGCGGGCTGGTTCCGGGGGGCCTGTCTGACCGCGGGGAGCGGCGGGAAGGTGCCGCCTCCTCACGCCGCCGCCCCGCCAATGGGCCGGGCCGGGCCGGACCGAACCGGGAGCCCGCCGCCTGACGCCGGCACCTGGCGGCCCCCGCCCTCCCGGGCGTCCTCTCCGCTCGTGCCGGGCCGGGGTTAGGCCGGGGGCGGGGGCGGGGGGCCGGGGTCGGGGTCGGGGTCGGGGTCGGGGTCAGGCCGGGGCCCCGCGTCCGGACGCTTCTCGTGTTGAAGGTTTTCTGGGAGCCTGTGCACCGGGCGTGCTTCTGGCTGTGCGAGGGCGCGCGGCGGCGAAGAAGTGCCCATGAAGCAGGGCTTTGTGGTCTCCGTGAAGAACTGTCATTGTTTCCTTGGCCATGGAGGAGGGGTTGGAAGCGGACTTGGGCATTTCTTGGGCCAAATGAAGTGTGGAGCCTATTGTCTGTCTCTTGCTTCATGACAGGGTTTGTCTGCCACTGGAACCCCCGCCCCGGCTCCCGGGCTCCCGGGCTCCCACTCCCGCTCCCGCCTGGGCTTGCACGGCCGGGTCTGGGCTGGAGGTGGTCCCAGGCCAGGGCAGTGGGGCCTGCGCCTTGTTGCTGGGCTGCTGGGGCCCTGGCCAGATTTCTGTTGAAAGGGAGCCCTGTTCAGCCAGCCTCCCGGCCTGGCCTGAATCACGCCTGTGGGCCGTTCTGGAGAAGATTGTGCTGGGTTCTCGGAGTGGCCTGGAAACGGCTGTAACACTCCCCGCCCCAGTGTTTGTTCGCGGAGTTGGTTTTTTCTAACCCGGTTTTTCTGGCCAGATCTCAGTGGGGAGTGTGCTCTTCCCAGTGAGCGAGCCGGCGCTTGTCTCTGACCTGGCCACACAGGGCCGGCTGTCTGTCTTCCTGGGCCGGCTGGGCCGCGAAGGTGGAGGAAACCAGAAGCGCAGTCTGCCTTCACACCACAGGAAGAAGAAAGACGGGAAGCTGCCTGTGTGAACCGCTTGAAGTGGGGAGATCTTTGTGGCAGGGCCAGCAGGTTCCTGGTTTTTACCTCTGCATTGCCTCTCCGCTTCCAGCCCCTGCACTGCATTTGGGAAGTGTTTGGGATTCTGGCAGTGTCACAGCTCTCTGACTCCAGAGTTTGTACGTTTGAGGAGAAAATCTCAAATTTTGCAAACCTAAGGAGTTAAAAAATCTGCAGAAGAGGCATACAATCATGAACAAAATAGTGCCTTAGATTTTGCTAAACAACAGTTCTATTTTATTACTTTGGAAAATTTCAACATATACAAGGAGAGAAGATAGATTACCCACTCAGTTTAACAGTTACCAGCACATGACTAATCTGGTATCTGTGGTCGTCCTCCCGCCTTATCTTAACCATTTCACCCATAAACACTCCAGAATGTACTTTATATATTTTTTATTTTGTAGATAATCACAAAGCCTTCTCACACATTTTCCTGATTGTTTCATGCCTGTTTTCTTAGTATCACAGAAGTTCTTTAATGGTTATGCACTGGGAAGTTGAAGTCTTAGTGGTGGTGGAAATAGCAGAAACAATGTCTCAGTTTTCTTCTCCCTTCAAATGTGTAATTTCTAGAACTATTATGCATAGGAATTTGTTTAGGGTATTTGTTGGCATGATTTGTATATGGTAGTTTTGGGATTTGGTTGTTAACACTAGCATTTGTTTATTGCTGCTAAACATCTTGCAGTGTGAATAGTATCAGACTTTGGGAAATATTTGTGACGATTTATAAAGAAATTTTTTTTTTCTTAAAGCAGTTTTGTGTAAAACACCTGTAAGCTGAGCAACCCGTACTTTATTTCATTGTTAAGTTTTTCTGTTTTTCACTTTCTCTATGAACTTTTTATGTTGTAGTGACAGTGGTTGTTTTTTTTTTGAGAAGACTATATTTGAGGGAGTTTTTTGAGCTTTGATATATTCTGTGAAAATGGCTTCTTTGGTATATCTATATCTATAAAACCCTAATATACAAATAGACCAAACAGCCGAACAACCATGCTATGACGCGCGCTGACCACTGGGGGGGCGAGCCATAACATGGCCGGCATTGGCAGCAGGTGGCAGAGTGTGGAACATGGTGGAACATGGTAGGTGTCGGCCACAGTGGAATGGTGGAGCGAGTGAGCGGGATGCCAGACCAAGGCCGGGTGCTGGTTCCTGTCATCGGGGCAAGCCTCCGGTGGTTACTGAAAATTCTTTGCTCTCATGTCCCCAGTCCTGCCTGGCACTCACACCTGCTGCCTGTGCCAGCCCTGTTCGCACCCACTGCTGGCCCCAGCCCCAATCGCTTTATGCCATGAGTAGGTGCGCGGGTGGTGCTGTCAGCATGTGGGAGCTGGGCTGCTGGCAGATGGGGGACCAGGAGCCCCAGTGGGAGGGACCTGGTGGGGACATGGAGGATGGGCTGAGACCCACCCGCCCCTGAGCCCACCGCAGTCTCGTGGCCCACAGTTCCTTTCAAGGTGCATAATTTCGTGCACTGGGCCCTGGTAGTTTATAATTTTTTCTATCTCTAAAAAAATAGTATGTAGTCTGGGTATAGCTGAACAATGTATACCTGTATCTTAAAAAATGAGTTGAAACACAGTATTACTCTGTTGAGATAAATTTATTTTTTGCCTTAGGTTTCTGATGGCTCACAGGGAAGGTCACACATATAAATTAAAACTTTAAAAAATTGTGAATTTCTCTTCGCAGTGTTTTATTCATAATACCACATATGTGTAACAGAAGTAGCTATAGGATGATCTAGTGCATGTTGAGTAAATATAGTAAATTTTAATTATTTTAATTGAAGGGAGGAAGTGCTAGCTTGAAAAATAAAAACCAGAAATAATAAATCAAAATTCTTTTTATGCTATATTGGATTTTATTATTTTAAATATTTTGACTTTTTTTTTTTCCCCTTGGGGTAGCTGCTGTTATTGCATATGTCGTTGAGGATACAGTGGCGGGTGTGTTACATTGTCTTGACCTGGAGAAGGAAGGCCCTGCCCCTGGAGAGGTACTGGAGGGAGTGAGAGGAGAGAGGGTGGAGCGTCTGTGGTCAGAGCTCCTTCCAGGAGGACCGAGCCCCTTGGCCGGGGAGGCGGAGGAGTTCTCTGGCTGGGGATGGTCAGCAGCACCAGCACTGAGTTTGCCACTGTCCGCACTGTGCTCCTGCTGTCACCCTCATTCCCTGGAGGATGATGGGGAGGGCTTGTAGGGCTGGAAGGCTGCTAGTGACGTTTGGGAGTGGCAGGGGGTCAGGGAGCAGTGGGCACCTAGGGGAGAGGTTGCTTGTGCACAGTTTGAGGAGGGACATCATTCTTTGAGCATTGAGGAGCCATTGGAGTTGTTGGGCTTGAGGTCCCTGGGAGTAGGAGATATGATCAGATGATGTTTTGGAAAGGAACGGGAAAGATGGCTCGCCTAGGACAGCAGCCCAGGAGACTGCAGGGGAGGCGGTGGTGGCAGTGCTGGTGGAGCAGGAGCGAGAGCAAGAGAAGGGCTGGACTGTGGGCTCCATTGAACTTGGTGAATGTGCTCATTCTCACAGGCTTTGGTGGCCCTTTAAATGGGTGCACTGCTTGCCACTGGATGAGGAGCCTTGGGACTTCTTAAAGTGCCAGAACCACTTTCCAGTGCTCATCAAGAAGTGCCACATACATTGACATTTTGAAGCAAGCACTTGGACTATTGGGAGGAGTTCTCTAGATGTTATCTTCCCATTGTCCCATCTTTTGTTCTTAGCCAGATGTTCTCCGAAGGGGGCAAAACCGATTCTGTAGAAATAGATGTTTCCCTAGGAGGCAGCTGGCCTGCCGGGTGGCCTGTACAGACATGTTCGGGCAGAGTTCCTGCATGTGGGGAGGATTCCGGACTTGTCAGGCAGGAGGAAACCAGTCCTGCTGAACACGTGTTGGTGTGCACCTCTTAAGAAATACCAACCCCAAACTTCCAAAAATTGTTTTGGTACTCAGCTAAATCAGGAACATCTAACCCCAGATAAAGCCCTGCTGATGATGGGTTTTTAATTCTTGTTGTTTTCTGCATTGTTATGGGCTTGTATTTTGCCTTTTTTCTTAACCAATATTGGATATATGTATATTTCTACATATTGACATAATCAAAAAATGTTATTTGAGGGCATTTTTGGTGCAGTATTGTGTGTTTGTAGATTCTGAACTGATCCTGGAAGAGCAAAGAATTTTTGAAATAATCCATCCTTCTTTTGTGACAATGCACCCCTGAACAGGTGTGCTAGCCAAGGGGAAATCATAAGGCGTTTCATTCCCAGAGGACTAAAAATATTATAAACCATCTCTATTTTAACTTAGAGATGGATGTTTGGACACATGAAGTTCATACATGGTCTTTTACTTTGTTTCTTTGCTCTGTTAGTAAACACGTGGTCACTGGTTGTGAACAGCTGTTTGAGCCAAGGAATTGCCTGGCTTTAGAGCATCAGATGTTTTCCATCTCACATTGTATTAAGTTTGTGATGCCTCTGCTTCTTATCATTAGTGTCAATGATGTCATTTTTGTATTTCAGTCACTGGAAAGAACTTGGCAGAGAGCAGAAGATTGCCGTAGTTGCACAGGTGCACTGCTTTCAGCCCTAGGTGGTCCGGTCCTGACAGAACTGTGGGCCTGAGGCTGCACTGACTGTGCAG